CCCTAGGCCTAACAATTATACAATTACAATTTCCAAAATCATGAAGTTAAGATTTATAGTTACACAAACTTAGGGTTCATCCAAACCCTAAGTGGAGAGTTTAGCCGGCCATGGAAAGAAGGAAGACGATCTTCAAGGTGTGCACATCCAACCCCAAGCTCAGCTCCATCTCTGCCTCCTTTTTCTTCTTGTTGTTGAAACCCTAGAGAGAGAAAGTGTAGAGAGCTTCCTATTTCACCCCCCAAGTGTGTATATATGAAATTGAGGCTAAACAAACTATTTATAGTTGACTCCAATTCGAGCTTAAGGCTCGATCGATCGAGTGGATCACTTTTGCAGCTTATTTCCCTTTTTGCCCCCTTCTCTCGCTGAGACTTCATAAAAGTTGTAATACACTTGAATAAACTTTGAGTAGTCCTAAGTTCCTAGAATCGGACATAAAACAAATTATTACTAAGATGGAGAAAGAAAGATAAATCAAGGTTCTAATATACCCAAGGTTAAGGGCTGAAATGTGCATATTCCAGCACTTATTGGTGTTTAATGAATATATGAATGATTAGTTTGATAATTCATGACTAGGGAAAACGGGTTGTACTGTATAGTAGATTAGAGTAGTTAGGTAGACAGTCCGTGCCAACCGAAAATGAGTTATACTTAGTGTTTGCTCACATATATATTTCTAATTGAATTGGAAGTGAGCGTGATGCCACTCGATGCCCGAATATACATAAATATGAATTTCCCCAGAAATTACTACAATTGACCATGTTATGAGGCCAATGGTGAAGTCAATCCCTAAGTTCCCATTCTCTTGATACTTATTCCCTCATTACTTAGTTTAATTTCAGTTTTTACATTCATTGCAAGTAGAAATAGAAAACAAACAAACCAATTCTTCTCTTGAATCAAAACCAGAAGTAATTTTGTACTTACCAATTCCAACACAGTCTTTGAGGTTCAGCACCCTCTATATAGTCATATCCTACAAGGATTCGTTCTATTGTGAGTGGTTTATCATTGATAAAGCTGATAGATCAATTACCACCACTACTTCCACCACTGCCACTACCACCACTTTTGTGATACTCCCGAATTTCCGAATGCGGGTTGGCCAGGCCCACGCCTGAATATTCGAGAATATGAAAACAAATTAATAATAAACGAACATAGAATATAAGAGGATAAATAAGAATAAATAAAAATGCTGAAAAGAAACTAAAAGGATAATCCAAACTCCTCAGAATAAATTCTTATTAAAAATAAAAACATTCTGATACAATTAATCCTCCATTAATACAACTCGGGAATCTATACTGTGTGGACCCCTAGAAAAACCCAAATGATAGCAATAACTGTCTACATCAGGAAACTGAAACATAAAAGAACTCCTATGTAGATAAACCGGAGGAGTGAAGTAGACTGATCCTTACTCAGCACGAACAACATCTACTCCTGACAAACACCTGAAAAATAATGGTGGGTTAGGCCCACAAACAAGTTCTACTCTACTACAGTCCAAGCAGAGATTCGATACACGTATACATCCTAATCAATCCAACAATAACTAGTAGTCCGTATATATATAAATACACACTAAAGGAACCTCACTAGACTATAGGATTGTCTCAACCTGAATAGTAAGCAACATGCAAAACGCACATATAGTGGACATGAGTACCTAGACTTACCAGGGTACACAACTACACTATATCTAGCTACACATCCCTGACGATATACGCGCCCTAACCACTGATCCTGAGACTCAAGCTCATATCATGGCACCATACTTATATATATAAAATCTAGTAACCATCCTATCCAGTATAAATTAATCCTCCATAAGTCATTCAACTTGTTCAACTGACCTGACTTGAATATAAGTAGGACTTAACATTTTAATTAATCCATTACCTTATATAATAAATTAATCCTCCGTAAGCCATTCAACTTATTCAGCTGACTTGACTTGAATATAAATAGGACTTAACATTTTAGTTAATCCATTCCCTTATATAAAATAGGTAGGACTTAACTGATAAATTAATTCGTCCCTAGAATGCCACCGTCCCATACCGGTGCATTAAACCACACAATCCAACAATTGATGTAACGATTAAGGAAATACATCAAACAATCAAGAAATAACTATGATAATATGATATCAAGTTGTCACAAAATAGGAATGACTTATTATTTATTTAAGCTTCTTATATCATGTGTCCTACACAAATTGAATCTTATACATGATGATATTTTATTATACCGTCAAATAAGTATTCTCCATATCCAATTCATCCTACACATTTAATCTTAATTGCTAAAACATGTTAAAAGATTAAATCCATTCGTTTGTTTAAAACATTCAAATAGCAAGCATCATTATAATTGAGTCTATTTAAATTTATTTAAACCCAAACCTAGTTCCTATTTAATGTTCAGGAATCCTAGGCATATTTCTACGTTCCATCATTCCACAGATATGAAAAATACATAATTTAAACATATAAAAATTCACACCGGAAATCAAATCAAAATCATGCATTTATTAATTTATAACACAAGAATAGATATGAACCAAATTCATAAAACTTATGTTCTAATCCAATTAAACATGCATAATTATTTAATTTTATGTGTTTAATAAATCCTAGAATTTCCTAGACATGTACAGAAATACGAATCAACGGGAAAAAGATAGAAGAAGAACTTGCCTTAAACTTTCGGATCGAAAGTTAAACTTCTGTTTCCTTGATCTTCTCTCTACAGGGTTTTTTTCCTCCTTCCCTCCTTTTCCTCCTTCCCTCTCTAACTCTCTCTATCTCTAGAATATATCACGTGAATATTTTTAGCCTCCTTTTACAACCTATAGCTATATATTTATAGGCTAAATAAAATAACCCTAACCATTTTCCCAATAAGTCAAACTTAAAAATATATATATATATTAAAATATTAAAAAGGTAAGTAAAATATGTTACGTATATAATTTATGTATATCTTTATTAAATAAATAAATTATACACATCCCATTATTTATTAATGGATTATCCAATAATACTTAAGTTACCATAATATTATAAAGTAACTCAAAACATAGCACGTATCAAATTTATGTATATTTTTATTATTTAAATATAAAATATATACATCAGATTAAGTATTATTACCCAAGTTACCATAAAAGTAATTAATAAATTACTTTCCCTTTTATATATATTAAAAAGGTAAGTAAAATATGTTAAGTATATAATTTATGTATATGTTTATTAAATAAATAAATTATACACATTCCATTATTTATTAATGGATTATCCAATAATAGTTAAGTTATCATAATATTATAAAGTAATTTAAAACATAACACGTATCAAATCTATATATATTTTTATTATTTAAATATAAAACATATACATCAGATTAAATATTACTACCCAAGTTACCATAAAAGTAATTAATAAATTACTTTCCTTTTTATATATGTATATAATATATATTTATATATATACATACACAACTATCCATGGGTAATAATCCATACACATCTAACCTCCTATCCAAGTAGTCCATGCGACCCAATTGGTTGGCCCATTACTACTAACCATAACCATAAAAGAAAAATAAAATAAAATAATAAAAGAAAAGAAAACATTTAATTTACAATTACTCAAAATACCATTTAAACACATAATCTAATTAAATAATTAACACATAGACAAATACAAATAATAAATAGACACATAATCAAATAATCAAGTAATACCTAATTCAATTAAACACATAAGCAATTAATCAAATAATCAATTAAATAATTAAAAATACAATTAAAACAAATAAATAAATACTGAGACTATCATTTTAAAATTAGGGGTATTACATCTTTCAATTAACACCACTGTCGCCTTTCACCACTAGCGCCGTCGCCATTTTCTACCGCCGCCGGCTTCCAACACCACCACCTACGCCACTATCGCTTTCCACATCCACAACCATCGTTACCGCTATCTACCACCACCATCAATTCTTTTAAAAATTTTATTGAAAAATGTTATTTTTTAAATTGGTCCAACCAAACACTAGAATGATTATTATCATTCTATTCCTACACGTTCCATAATTGCAACTAAATAATATAGTAAGAATAACCATTTCATCCCATTCTAACTTGCATTGCATTCCATTTTTGCATACCAAACGCGGTTTCCTCAAATAGGGCATCCATCGTGATCATTAATTATATTTTTCTCTAATTATCTAAAAAAAATAAATTAACAATATCTTCTTGGTTTTTTCATATCTTATAATTAATACTATTATTTATTTATTTTCTTTTTTTGTGGGCAATGCTATTTAAATTATTTAAGCAAACTAAAACTAGAATATAAAATGGATTAACAAATAATATAAAATTGATTAATAAATAAGTTCACATGGATTCTACATAATGTCGTCTCATAAAATCAACATTCTGGTCATTTTTTATTTTTAACTTGATTTTGACTTAGTTTCTTTTTCCTTTTTCTTTTGAAAAAATGATATACAATGTTAGTGTGTTCTCAATTGACAAAAGCAACTTTGTGCTAGGAAAAAAAAAATAAAAAATTTGAGAAAGACAACTGACAGGAACTTTTGATGGCTCTTTTTTTTTTTTTTTTTTTTTATCAAAATTGGTTGACAAATTTTTTATTCAAGACAATTTTTAGATGGATTTGCAATACAAAATCAACTTATCACATCTAAATACAATTTTTCATTTTGAAAAATATTTTATTTTCAATATTTTGTTATACTTATTTATTTCTTTTATTCTTTTTTCGACTTGACAAGAATCAACTTTATAACTATTTAGAAGGTTAAGGAGACTTTTAATTACATCTGAAAAATATCACTGTACTAATCAGCAACTCTTTGTGTCTTTATGCCACATAATTATATATCGATATATATATATATATACTAATACTAAGAATAATAATAATAATAATAAGGGGAGTGAATGAGGGAGAAGTGGGTCAGAAACACGAGAAGTGGGTCAGAAACACACGTTGTATTTCAGGCAATTCCATGTGCCCACATGGCGCTGATTGTAGAGAGCCTCAAACATACACAGACTCGCCATAGATTGTTGACTTGTTGCAGAAAAAGAAGATGAACAAGAAATACTAGTCCACAAAAATACACACACTTACACACACGACTGACTGACTACCAATTAAACCCATCAAGCACTCGACAAACCATACCATTATTCACTCCCAAGTCTCAATCATCGATCAGCCTATATTATTTCAATTTCTAGAGAGTGTGTGTAGAGACAGAGAGAGATGAAGGAGAGCAGTGATGGATTTGTGAGGGCAGATCAGATTGATCTGAAGAGCTTAGATGAACAATTGGAGAGACACCTCAACAGGGCATGGACCATGGAGAAGAACAAGAAGAAACAACATGACTCTGACCCCTCCGCCACCACCGCCACCGTGCCCGCCACAGTCACCGCCAGGCAGAGGCACGAGTGGGAGATCGATCCCTCCAAGCTCATCATCAAAAGTGTCATTGCTCGTGGCACTTTCGGCACCGTCCACCGTGGTATCTACGACGGCCAAGATGTTGCCGGTCAGTCACCCACTTTTCATTTTAATATTTCTCTGGATTCGTTTTTATCATTTTAATACTCTTCCAAAAAGAAGGGTATAAAAAAAACTTATTATAATTTTTCTTTCGCTTTTTGTTATTCTCTGGGATTTGTCTTCTACTTATGAATATCCATTTTAGTTTTCTTACTCCCCTTGTTCCAATTTTCCTGGAACATACGCATTTATATAAATTTCTATATATATGTATATAGATCTGCAAGTTTGTGTGGGTATGTCTTAATAGTGTGTATTAATTGTATCCATATATGTAAATGATAATTAGGTCATTTTTTATAACACCCAGTCGGATTTTGTTACTGAATTTATTTTTGCAACAATTGCATTTTCTTTGAGGAGCTGATTGAATTTAGAATTACTAAAAAAAAATAAAAAATAGCAATTAATCCACTCGAAATTTTTTTTTTGGCCCTTAATGAGAGTCATGATCTTTGTTGTTCCACTCCTTTCCATCGTTCGCTGACCAAACTATTCTAATTGTTTCCATTTTTGTTATTATTAATTTTTTTATTTTGAAAGTTGTTTCTTGTTCATAATTTTTGGTTTCTATTACAATTGATGGTTATGGAGGGGTTTCTGAATGTCAATTGTAAAAGTACTCTCATGGAATCCGTGACTCCTGCACGGGTTTTGATTGAATTGGCAGGTGATTGCAATAACTGAGGTGGTGGTGTAGCAGTTTTGAACTTTCATGTGATCCTATTTTTTATTTTTTAATAATAACAAAGTAAGGAAATCATTATTTAATATTAACTGCTCACGAACTTATTAAAAAAAAAAAAATCAAATATGAACTGCTAGGTAGAAATTAGGATCCCAACTGTTGCTGTTTTTGTTGGTATTTGTCATCATCATCAGTGTCATTGTCAACATCATTGTTATATCTTCAGCCATAATCTAAGTTAAAATTTTATTTTCTTTCTTTAAAAAGAATCAAAAAATCAGCTGCAATTTTTTCTTTTTATATTTATTAATTTATTTTTTTTTACCTTGTTAAGAAGTTTTTGAGAAAAATGGTTTCCATTTTCGCCAAAAATAGTACATTTATTATTTTTTTTAACCCATTTCTAATCCTCAGTTAAACTGCTGGACTGGGGAGAAGAGGGCCATCGAACAGAAGCTGAAATAGCATCATTGAGGGCGGCTTTTACACAAGAAGTTGCAGTGTGGCATAAGCTTGACCATCCTAATGTAACTAAGGTCACATTCTACACCACGACCCAGTGTCTTAATTTATATGGCAGTACAGTTTTGTAGTATATGATTCTATATAAGATTTGCATGCATGGGGTACTTGTCTACATTCTATGGGTGATTTTAGATATAGGAACTTAGAACTTATTAACTTAATGTCTAAAATTTAAGTGAATTGTGCAACTGCTTCTTATTGAGCGAATTGAGCCAGTTCCAATTTGAGCCGGCTACTTGTTTCATGGCTTAAATTTGAGCTGCAAATCCTACTCTAGAAACCTAGATACCCACATTAATAGCAGGCCTGTCTATATCCTACGCAAATAGTGGGTGAGTCTTTGTAGTGGTATTTATTTAGTTTGTTTTGGCATTTACTTTATGTGGCTTCTTTACAATGGGGATTGATTGCTTGTGATCACTTCATCTTAGCATTTGGTAATCTCTTTAAATGCCTTAGGTCTGGTTAGGATCACATTCAAAAGTCATAACTACCTACATTCAGGATGGTCTGCAGAATGTTGATCACTTCATCTTAGCATTTGGTAATCTCTTTAAATGCCTTAGCTTTGGGGAGGATCACATTCGCAAGTCATAACTACCTATATTCAAGATAATCTGCAGAATGTTCAACAAAATCTTTGAAAGTTCTTTTTGGGTGTTAGAATATCATTTTCTTTTTTGGTTACTTTTAGAAAATTTGTGGCTTCAAGGGTTTAGCTTTCTCTTGACTGGTAGTGGTAGTGGATAGGTGTTACAAGGGGAGTTTTGTCCTATCTCGGATTCGAATGGGAAGTGAAATGGGTATATATGGGTTGGGTGTTAGCCCCACCTAATAGCTTAAGCTTTAAGGTAAGATAGCGAAGCATCTACCCGTTACAGTTGGTATCAGAGGCAAGCCCAATCCTTGATCGGGTGTCACGCTAAGTGCCCGGCCCGGAGGCGTCCGTGTGAGCGCACCCGGGTAGGCAGGGTGGCTCAATCGGAACGAGGGTGTTGCAAGTTTGGGTGGGGGAGAATGTTACAAGGGGAGTCTTGTCCCACAACGGATCCAGATGGGAGAGAAATGGGTATAATATGGATTGGACGGTAGTCCCACCTAATAACTTAAGTTTTTGGATTGGATCGTGAAGCACCCACCCATTACAATAGGTTTTATGGTTGTTGGAAGCTTTTTTGGGGACTACTTGTACTGTTTTGTAATTTACAGCTTAGCCATTCAATGCTCAATCTATAATTGCTTCTGTTTCTTCTTTTTATTTTTATTTTTTTTTTGAATGGGATATTTTTATAGATTTTTCAGAATAAGAATAATGCTCAATCTAATTGCTTCATTTAAAGACTCGTGAACTTTTTTCCTCTGTATGCCTCTATTGGGCCATTTAGCAAGTGCCTTAGAGCATTTGGTTCTTAGATGGACTTGGTTACCTATATAGGAAGTTGTTATCTTTCTATGTATCAAACTTCAGCTCCAAATCTCAGGATGCAGGGAGTGTGGATTTGGCTTAAAATTTGTTAAAAAATTTGGTACTTATGTTTAACATCTTGCACATAAATATATTATATAATCAAATTAACTCAATCAAGACTTTCCAACTACTTGGGGTCGACTACATGAAACTTATTTCACCATTCCGCTTTATTTAAATAATAAAATATTGTAACTACCAAGGTGTATGGCCTAATGGTATCTCATATCCTTTCAAAGTGAAAGGTGGAGGATTCAAGTCTTTCCAAGAGCATTGTCGGAGTTATTTGCAAGAACAAATGTGTATATACATATATATAGAGTCCTCTTCAGTTGCTCCCTAGTGTGCAGGGAGCGTTAACTGCAGTTCTTCAGCTAGCCGTTCGATTTCATCCAACGGCCCAAAGGAAACTACCCTTTTTGGAAGATTCTGGTTTTAAAACCAATAAAATCACCATTAATTTTGTGTCTTAACTTTTTTCACCCCTTCCTTTGCCTGGTAACAAGCGGGCAAAATTTCAACATTGTCTTTCACTTGCTCTCTCTAAGGACTCTTGCTTATGCTTACTGTATATATCAAGGGAAATCATAAAAACTGGTGAAGTATACAACTCTTTGAGAACGAGTTCACTGGTTCGTAGTTTCAGAAAGTTGGTTCGTCGGCAGAATTCAATTTCGTTGACGTGTTGGAGAATTCTCTGACCGGTCCTATACCGCTGGATCTGCGTAGCAAGAAGATGAAGGGATATTTGTTGCTTCGGAATAAATTCTCCGGTGAAATTCCAGTGAGTGATGTGAATTGCATGTCGTTAAGATGTTTCCATGTGAGCAATAATTTTTTTTTTTTTTGACGTAGTTCCTACTGAAACTTTGGGACTAACTAACATGGATATAATTGGTAAAAAGGTTGAATGAAATCGAACATCCGATACGTCCAATATTGGGGTGCAAAGTCTTTGGTACAGTTTCACCGGCATTAATAGATTATCTGGAAAATCACTATCGGGGATTTCAAAAGCTTCGACACTGAGCATGACTTATCTGAAGTACAATCAATTTTCTGGCGAAAACTTGGTAAAACACAGTAAAAAAGTTCCGGTGACTATAAGTCCAGTGGTTTTGTTAGTTGTACAAAAAATATGACACAATATTCGGTGAAAGAGTAAGGGCATTTAATGTTGTAAATTGGTTTTGTTTATTTAAAACCAGAAATCTTTCAAAAAGGGTATTTTATTTTGGGGCCGTTGGATGAAATCCAACAGTTAGCTTAACAGTCGTTGATAGCGCTCCCTGCACACCGGGGAGCAACTGAACAAGACTCTATATATATATTATTGTAATTTATGGTACCCTTATTTGAGGATACAGTTAATTACTCACTTCGTCCCAAAATAAGTGTCCTTTTGGGGGGTCTTAACTTTTTAAAGGAAATGCGTTCTCTCTTAGAAATTCCAAAACTAATAATTCAAAATTTAAACATTTACATTGATAATTTGGTATGTTTTTATGTGTAGGATAATTTAGGAAATTTTAATTTTTGTACATTGAATTCTTGAAAGGGACAATTATTTTAGAACATCTGAAATGGGGAAGATGGACACTTATTATGCGATAAGAGGGATTAGAATTTAAATTGAATGACATTCTATTAAATTTGAGCTTCTTCCTGTGCTTCATCATGACAACAACATCAGCATGTCCTACTTGGGTTTATCTGTCAAACGTGTGTCCTATACCATACTAGTGTAGTGTGTTCGATATCATTGCCTCAGGAGGAACTGGGGAATCCATGTAGAATATATAAATACTGTTTCTGTTTCTATCATATACTGATGGTATTGCACAACTGAAGTCTTTTGAGTATAGAATGTCCTTATATATTCTGGAGTTTTGGTTCCCTCTCTTTGCCAACTGATGGTAGCCATAGCCCATATTACTGCACTACTTGGATTCTCTTATAAAATTCTGTAATAGTTGCTACTTCCCCAAGTATGATGACGCTTTTGATGATTCTACATGTGTTTCTGAAGGATGGTAGTTAATGTAAGCTTTGGAACAACTATTGCAATAAAGAGAAACAGAAGGATAGTCTCTGTTAAATTCCTAAATTGCTGCTGGTTTCTTTTTTACCTAGTTGGTACTTAGACACCCCTCCTCCAAGGAATTGTTTGCACCTAGCAGGAATCAATCCTTAGACCTGATGCTTCATGAGGCACCACGGCCCAAGTCTTTTCCAACTAGACCAACCCCTTGGGGTTTCCTAAATTGCTTTTACTATTATGCTAACTGCCGACTGGTCTAGATGCTTCAAAAATGCTATAATAATTTATAATCGTAGATATTATGCGAAAATATTGGACTCATTTAATATAACCTCAACATGTGAATTCTTTAGGAATTAATTTCTTATTTACCTGGTCAAGTAATCACATCTGTTTGTTGAATTTAAGAGTGGCCATGTGTCCTTTCCTTAACCCTGTTATCCTTGAATTGGTTTGCAGGCCTTTTCCATTTTGTGTCAAGCAAGTTGCTTAGTATGACACTTTGAAGTTTTGTTCATTTAGAAAAAAGCCCGATGCCCCGTAATTGAGAAAGATCCTTTTAATTTATACTTTATTAATTATTGCCTTGGAATCCACCCTGACATTCTGTTATGCCTTTGCCAATGTTTGCTGTTAGCTGGGAGCCTGGGAGCCATTTACTTTTCCTGTCTGTCATTCATTAAACTATACTGCTTATGGCCTTTCCAGTAGTACTCATTATCTTCATCTTTGATATTGGATCTTCTTTTAAAAATTTCAGTAGGATGATCATTTGTATATGAATCTTGTGATTTGAGAGTTAAACAAAATCCTTGCGGGTCGCACAGTAATAATCAAATTAAGATGGTTGCCATATTTAACGGATGTCCCACCTGAATCTTTTCCCTGCAAAGAGTGAATGTTGTATGGTCATTAAACTTTTGGCTTCCATTATACACAGCTTTCTTTATATTCCCTATCTTATTTTGTCTTCTTCTCATGGGTTACACTTCCTGATTCCTATTGTGAAATGTTTGGATTTGATAGTTATTTTGCTATAGGAATATTTTGGAGTTATGACCTTGCAAGAAATTAAAGGAGTTGACTTGTATTGCATATAAATTTTATAAATAACCCTTGCAAAAAACTAAATTAGTTAAACTGTTTAGCATATAAATTTGATAAATAACATTTTATATTTTCTGGACATACATGTAATTTTTTACTTTGCTAGTTTTAGAGGCTAGAAGAAGTAGAAAAAGTTAGTTTTCTCTAGTTTTAAGTTTCATCATATATTTCTTTGGGAGACTGGATGGTGTGATGATCACTGCCTTAGACAAATATTTGTATTCCATGGTAATTTCAATTTCAGATACTTGTCAAATATTGTTCCTAACAGTTCATGCCTGATCCTGTCTGCAGTTTATAGGGGCAACGATGGGCTCTTCAGAGTTGAACATACAGACGGAAAATGGTCACATCGGTATGCCAAGTAATATCTGTTGCGTTGTTGTCGAATATCTTGCAGGAGGTGCCTTGAAATCTTACCTCATAAAGAACAGGAGAAGGAAGTTGGCTTTCAAAGTTGTTCACCAGATAGCACTTGATCTTGCTAGAGGGTACTTTATTGTTGGTTTACTTTTTGTAAAATGATTCTTCAATTTTTTGCAGCTTGGCAGCTCAAGAGTGACCTGTAACTAGTGATTTTCTTGAGCTAAAACGAAAAATGTACTACATTTTGTAGGTTGAGTTACCTTCACTCTCAGAAGATTGTTCACAGGGATGTGAAGACAGAAAATATGTTATTGGACAAAACACGAACTGTAAAAATAGCTGATTTTGGGGTTGCTCGTGTTGAGGCCTCAAATCCTAATGACATGACTGGGGAGACTGGCACCCTTGGTTACATGGCTCCTGAGGTATGTAGTATTTCTTTTTTTGAGAAGGATCTTAAATTCAAACAGAAACTTCGATTCTAGCATTTAGATCTTCTGGTAGTTTTCATTTCTTTGCCTCAGGAGGCGGATTATGAACATTTGTCCATAATTAAATGAAGAACTGGACTTCTCTTGGTGCATAGAAAAAATTGTCCCACCTAAACCATGTTTTACCTAATACAATAGTTGCAACGTTGGCTTCTGACTGGCATTTGTCAATAGTTGTTGTCCTTGTAGCAAAATTCTGCTGGACTTTGACAATTGTTTATCCTCCTCTTTTTTTTGATAAGTGACGCTTGTTTATCTAATTAGGAGAAAGAAAACATTTGGTTATCAGTTATGACATAGACAATGAAATATCAAATGGGTGAACTACAGGTTCTCAATGGCAACCCATATAACAGGAAGTGCGATGTGTACAGCTTCGGCATATGTTTATGGGAAATATATTGCTGTGACATGCCATATCCTGACCTCAGTTTCTCAGAAGTGACTTCAGCGGTTGTTCGCCAGGTGCATTATTTCTTCTTATCCTAATTATATTCACTCATAACCATTAATCATCCCTGCATTCTTTGTCAATTACAGCATGTCCTTTTTTTTCTTTCTTCTGCTGGGTAATCATTGCAACTCATGTTGAGTCCACAGAATCTGAGGCCAGAAATACCAAGGTGTTGCCCAAGTTCTCTGGCAAACGTGATGAAGCGATGCTGGGATGCTAACCCCGACAAGCGGCCAGAGATGGATGAGGTAGTTTCCATGTTGGAGGCCATCGACACATCAAAAGGCGGAGGTATGATCCCTCTTGATCAACCTCAGAGCTGTCTATGCTTCCGCAAGTATCGAGGACCTTGAAACTACATCCTGAGCATACAAACAGCTAGCATACTAATATTTCATTGTCCAAAAGATCCATACCTGTATTTGTGAAGGAACAAAAGAAATTAGGGTTTCAGAGCCGAGAAGATTCGGATGATGATACATATAATAGGCTGAGGAGCCCTGCAACATCTCTCTTTAATGGATGATGTAAAGCTTTCCCATTAATCTTTCTGTAATTTTGGTTTATTCTTTTGGGTTCTTCAAATATGCGTATTTCATTGCCTTGCCAGTTTGGTGGTGGACTGGCGCTCAACCTTTTCTGTAAGATCACCCTTTATATATACTAGTAATAATCATCATTACTATTATTGTTAAGATGATATGTACTGGCTACGTAAATTCAGTGGGTGTGTGGCTGCTCCGTGACAAACTAGGGGGAAGGGGACTTGAATGTGGGTACACTCGTTTGGGAAGCTGAGCATTTTACTAGTTAGGTCACTGAGTAATGCACAGAGTAATGTAGGTAACATTTTGGGTGATGTAAAGTGTGGTATTACTTCATAAGCATGCTTAACTTTGGAATAGTACTGGGATGAGTCACCTGTACCAGGATGAGTGATCTCCTGAAAAATATATGATCGGGGAGAGGAAAAAACAAACAATATTGTGTTACAAATGAATTTTTTTAGATTTTTGAAAGCGACAACTGATTGCTGTCTACTTGTTTGTTATGATATGGTGCTTTCGGCAAGGATGTGATAATGCATCTATCTTTCGGTGGGGTGGGTTGGTTTGGTTTGGTTTCCGGATATGGGTTGACAAACCATTCTGTTGGTAAGTTATATTCCCATCATTGGATAATATTGCCTTGTGTAGATTGAACAAATTAGTTCTTTGTTTTCGGGTGTTCTTTTGCAGGTCATTAGAGTTATTATTTTCCAAGGAGAGATGTCTGAAAAGACTAGTAGAATTGATTTATTGGTTTGAAATTGAAAAAAAAAAAGTTTTAAAAAAATAAATAAAAACTAATGATCTTTCAAGATTTTGTTGAAAACTCTTTTGAACGTTTATTTTTGCACAAAACCCTCTTGTTTTAATCCAAAAATATGCGATACACTCAGAATTGACATTATTGGACTTGAAATCTCTATAATGTCCTTTACTGATTAAAATGACTTCGGATCGTTGTATTTTTGTAAATTCATGAATCGACCCCTATTGTAAATGGGTTATTCATATTTTGTACTATCATATAACTTTTTTTTGTTATTAAGGGTTCTTTTGTTATTTTACAACCAATGTTTATTTATTTATTTATTTTTGAGGAAAAAATGGTATATTTAAAGAAAATGATTAATTTTGAATACAGCACCAGTATAAAAAAAAAAAAATTTAAAATTATACACAAATTTTATACTGGTACTCTTTATAAATAACCCCTAATGTAGTTGTAAGAACTTAAAAATATATATATATATATATATATATATATATATATATATATATCTATAGATATATATCTATTTAACATGTATTCTAATTAAAATGTAATTAAAAGTGGTGTAGTATCAGTAAATAACATAAATTAATCATCATCAGGCGTTCTCAGAGAGCTGAACCTCGGGTGGCCTGTTTTCAGCATCCCATTTGCTCCAAATGTAGAAGATACCAAAGAGTATCAGCTGAATTGCACCAACTACCGCTCCCAAACCATTCGGAATCTATCCCACACGCACGGAAAAAAACATAATTTTAGTTTCTAAGCTGCCAAATTTACATTTATAAGAAGTAAGGAAAAAAAAAAAAAGAAAAAGAAAAAAACCTGTCAATCTTCTAGTTCCACCACAACTAAAGTGGAAAAAAATTCTATTGTATTTTTCTAAGGGTGAAAATATTGACAAAACAACTGAGGTGGCAGGCCTTCATTGGTTCATTGCCCTGAAAATATCTGAATTATTCTCTTTCAATGATTGGTAGAAGGGGACAGGTGTATTGTATAGCTGTGAAAAAGGCTGCTGTATTGTATGGAGTATAAATATGTTGTGATAAAGCTCTTTAAAAGCCTTGAAATCTCACTGAATATTGGGTTGCAGCTGAGAACTCTCGAGTACTATATGTCAAGCAAGTTTTTCTCTGTCATTTGATGATGATCCATGCAAGAAAAACTCACTGAATCAAGCCTTAGGTGTGTACAAGTGCTGAGATGATGCTGCTGTCAAGCTTACTATTGCAAGGGCTAGATTGAGTAGTGATTTTGAGTTCCAAGCTATTGTGGTCTATTCGAAGGGTTGTTACAGGTATAACCAAGCTATTTACACTTGCTCAATATTTTGTTTTAAACAAAAACATGCTGGAACTGAATTTGGATCTCTAGATCATCATACAAGCTTGTTTTTCTGGTTTAATCTGTGATTTAAGTACAAAATGGTTAAATCTAATTGTCTCATGAAATATCTAGCTGCTAGCAAGTTTATTTTGGTGAATCATGATAAGCGCCGAATATTGCATATTCAAGCACCCCTTCTTGCATTAATTAAGTCCATTATTAAAGGATAATGTAAAGTTTTAATTCAATTGTATATTTTTTTCGGATTTTAGGTTTTGTGCCCGAGAGTGATCAAAGAAATGGTTTTGACATCATTTGTGTTGAATTGCATGCGCCGTGTCAGGAAATCACCTTTTTGATTAAGCCTTTTCTATTACCATTTTTGTGGAAACATGGCTTAGTGTTTCATAAGGGACGTGTGTTATCGCTCCAGCCCGAAGAAGACTGCAGAAAATTTAGAGTTGAAGTGCAGCTGCAGCCTCCGTGGGCGCCTGCGGAGCTCCCGCGATGCGCCCGCCAACCCCAAACTCTCTGGCCTCTTTCGCGGCACCTTGCAGAGCAGCAGCAGGAGCCCCCGCGCCCTCCCGCGGGCGCTCGCCGTGCCATTGCGGGCGCCTGCAAAACACTCCAGAGACATCCTCGCGGGCGCCCGCCGACCCTCTGCAAGCAGTTCACCTGCCCCTCTTTTTCAGCACTTTTGTTCCCTTATCTTCATTTTATGTGGTGGAGAATGAACCAGAGGGGGAAGGTCGAGATTTTCAGCATGGGGAGTAGGTTTTGAGTGTATATAGGAGGATATCTCATGATAGATGACATATATCTCATCTTAGCAAGATTTTTGGGGAGAGAAAGAGGAAGGGAAGATAGAGTTCTTGAAGCTACAACAAAGGAGCTCGAAAATGGGGATGGAGACCAAGCTTCTTCCTTCTTCTAAGGCTCCGATGGGTAACTAAACCTCCATCTAGGGAGGTGATGAGGCCCCTCCCTTGTAAGCATGTTCTAATTTAGGCTATATTTTGGGGATTACAATGTATATTCCATGGTCTTTTCATAACCAAGAGCACTTCATTTGTTGTAATGAATGTTGATATATGTATGGATGATTTCTGTAAGTTGATTATCTTGTTTTAGATGATGTCTTATATTAATCATATTGCTTGAGTTTTCATGGTGAGAATGGAGACAAGGTTATGAAATGGTTTAATGGCATGGAGTTAGAGAACCTAGATAGTTCATTGCTTAGGGTTCCCCTTTGATGGTCTATGCTTAATTCTTAGCTTCATGTGCATTAGTCATTTAATTTAGGGCTTGATAATCCTTGACTTAGTAAGCATGTTCTAAGCTACATTTTAGTTTAGGTAGTTGATCATGTGAATCTTTGATGGTTTATTCTTGCCTTTTTATTTAATGAACTTCTTGAGGATACTATAGCAACCAAGTGTTGCTATGTTTCATAACCATAATACATATTGTTTTTCCCCTAAATTAATCCTAACCTAGCATGTGTATAGGGATGGAGCCGGATTCACTTCCCTAGTCCTCTTTACTTGTATTTCATCTCCTTTCAATTCTTGCAAGCTTTTATTTTATGCATCTTAATTTCATAGCTTAAGTGACAACCAACAAATCCTCTATGAACACCCCGTATCATTCTAAAAAGACTCTAGACACTTAGGTTGCCATAGATTAGCGCAGTCTCAGTGGTTCGACTTACCCGACCAATAGTCTTATTTTACAATGATTCGTGCTATTGCGAAGGTTGATTTATTATAGATCGAATTCTCAAATTCGATCAATTTTTGGCGCTGTTGTCGGGGACTGCAAACGGTTTAGCAACCGAAGTTTTAGGGTTAATTTTAGTTTGATTGTTAATATCATGTATTGTGAATATTTCTTGTGTAGTTTGACCATCTTGTGTTGTAAATGAGATTCTAGGGACTCAAAGCTCGCCGAGGGAAAGCTAGCTAATTTGTAAGTCTAGAGGACCCCAGGTAAGTCTCTTGACCTTCGAGTTTCGACATTGTGAATATTGTGCATGTGTCAAATTTAGTGATAATTTAGTTTTGAAGCCCTTATTGAGGCTATTATCTTGTTTAAATTTCGTGTACAAGCATCGGTCCTTGTCGTGGCCATTTAAATTCTGTCTTGATATTTGAGGAGAATGGGAACATCGTATGTGGAGTTGTGAATGATGAATAGTTGCGTTGATAGTTGATAAGCGCCGAATATTGTATATTCAAGCGCCCTAAATTGCATTAGTTAAGTCCGTTGTTTGTTTAATTCTGTAGATTATCTTCATTTGTGTGTTTTTATGCATTTTCAGGTTTAATTGCAAAAAGGGAGCAAAAATAAGCCCTTGTGGATTTTTGATCAATAATGTGCTCAAAAGCTGAATTTCTGGCAGCAGTGAAGCGCGAAATTTGTTAGCCATTTTGACCTAGTAAAATCAAGAACTGGACTTCTATCATAACATGAAAGATTTAGAGCTCTGAATCAACTTTCCAAATCTTTAAGCGGTTCATCATTCGGAGTTCGGAGCAGAGAGTTATGATCTTCTTAACAGAGGTGCGCAGAACTGCCTGGCAGCACTGAAGTACTGCCTTTCTCCCCATTTTCGACCAACCAGACTTGAGAATTGGGTCTTCATCAAAACATGAAGTTTTTCAAAGCACTGAATTAGCTCTCCAAATCTTCAAACAGATCATCATTCAGAGTTCGGGGCACAAAGTTATAGCAGTTTTACCAAAGTAGGTCAGTGCTGGGCAAGAAGAGCATGTTGCACATTACACTAATTTAGAGTGCTCGAGACCACTCTTCGAGTGTTCAAAAATCAGGTAGATTGCACTCAGAAATGGCTCAATTTCAACCACTTGCACATTGGTTTCCTCAATGCCATCTTCCTTCTTTATGAAGTGGTTGGAGGTGTTCCTTGGAGGAGAGAGGGCCTTGACTTGAGCTTGATAAGAGAGAGGAAGGACCACACAAAATGATTATGATATATTCTACAAGATTAGAGGAGAGAGAAGAGAGCAAAAGGAGGTGTGTTCTT